CCAATCCTACAAAGATCACGCACCCAACAGAGCTAGGTGTTGTACCGTATCTTGGATCAGGGGACACTTGATGAATATTTTAACAAGTAGTTTTCTTAATCTGTCATTGGTGAAATGTGATGAAAATAGAGTTGAAATGACAGTGTCATAGAAAATACTGATCTAATGATTATTTTATTACTTTGAAATTTATTGAGTAGGATTATTATGCACCATATACCCAGCCTGTTGGGCATAACCAGTTCGGGCACTGCACCCAAAATTATTTTCTAAAGCAAGCTGCAATTATTTCCTTGGAAGGGTAATAAAAAGCTTATATAATTATTGCTGCTTAATTGGATTAACAAGTTTTTCTTTGCATATTGAGAACTTCAATTTTTATTAAATGACCCTTTATTACCTCACATTATTCTTGATGTCTCCCGCAGGACTAACATTATGAATAAGAACTTAGCGTAGTTAAGTTGTAATAAAGTTGGTAGAATTACCGACAATATGTAAAGTAAAAGGACACACGTGCAACTAATGTGGCATTTTATTGTGGCAAAGTTTCGCTCTCCATGAGCTTTATCAAGCCATTAATGGCTTGATAAAGCTCCTGGAGAGCGAAACGTTGCCACAATAAATGTCACATTAGTTGCGCTTGTGTCCTTTTACTTTACATATTGTCGGTAATTATACCAACTTTATTACAATAAGAACATAAGAAAGGAGGAACACTGCAGCAGGCCTGTTGGCCCATACTAGGCAGGTCCTTTACAATTCATCCCACTAACAAAACATTTGCCCAACCCAATTTTCAATGCTCACCAAGAAATAAGCTCTGATGTGCAAGTCCCACTCAAATCCAACCCCTCCCACTCATGTACTTATCCAACCTAAATTTGAAACTACCCAAAGTCCTAGCCTCAATAACCCAACTAGGTAGACTGTTCCACTCATCAACTACCCTATTTCCAAACCAATACTTTCCTATGTCCTTTCTAAATCTAAACTTATCTAATTTAAATCCATTACTGCGGGTTCTCTCTTGGAGAGACATCCTCAAGACCTTATTAATATCCCCTTTATTAACACCTATCTTCCACTTATACACCTCGATCAGGTCTCCCCTCATTCTTCGTCTAACAAATAAGGAAGATTTCTAATGCTATGTATTAATTTAGTCATCCTACGCTGAATGTTTTCTAACGAATTTATGTCCATTCTGTAATATGGAGACCAGAACTGAGCTGCATAATCTAGGTGAGGCCTTACTAATGATGTATAAAGCTGCAGTATGACATCTGGACTTCTGTTGCTTACACTTCTTGATATAAATCCCAATAATCTATTTGCCTTATTACGTACGCTTAAGCATTGCTGTCTTGGTTTAAGGTTGCTGCTTACCATAACCCCCAAGTCCTTTTCGCAATCTGTATGGCTAAGTTCTACATTATTTAACTTGTAAGTGCTAGGGTTATGGACACTCCCGAGCTTCAGAACCTTGCATTTGTCTACATTGAACTGCATCTGCCACTTTTCTGACCAAGAATAGAGTTTGTCTAATCTTTCTGAAGTTCCCTAAATCTACGTTTGAATCAATTATCCTACCTATCTTTGTGTCATCGGCGAATTTGCTCATATCACTACTAATTCCTTCATCAAGATCATTGATATATATTATAAACAACAACGGGCCCAAGACTGACCCCTGTGGAACGCCGCTTGTTACCGATCCCCACTCGGATTTAACCCCATTTATGGACACTCTCTGCTTCCTGTCTGTGAGCCATGATTCGATCCACGAGAGCACCCTTTCCCCAATGCCATGAGCTGCCACTTTCTTTAACAGTCTTTGGTGCGGAACTCTATCAAAAGCCTTACTAAAATCTAAGTAAATAATATCAAATTCTTTATCGTGGTCAACAGCCTCAAAAGCTTTACTGAAGAAAGTTAATAAATTAGTTAGACAAGACCGGCCTCTTGTGAATCCAAGCTGAGTATCATTAATCAAGCTGTGCTTATCGAGATGGCTTCTTATAATCTCAGCTATAATTGACTCTAGTAATTTGCCTACAATTGAGGTCAGGCTTATTGGGCGGTAATTTGACGGTAACGACTTGTCCCCTGTTTTAAAAATAGGAATTACATTAGCCATCTTCCACATATCAGACACTACATCTGTTTGAAGAGATAAATTAAAAATGTTAGTTAATGGTTCACAGAGTTCCATTTTGCATTCCTTAAGAACCCTTGAAAAAACCTCATCAGGACCCGGTGACTTATTTTGCTTCAATCGGTCTATCTGCTTCACAACCATTTCACTAGTGACTGTGATGTTACATAATTTATCTTCTTCTGGCCCACTATAAAAATTAATTACTAGAATATTATTAGTGTCTTCCTGTGTAAAAATTGAGAGAAAATAATTATTTAAAATCGAGCACATTTCATTCTCTTTGTCAATAAGATGCCCATAGTTATTTTTAAGGGGACCTGTCTTATGATTCGTTATGATTCGTGCCGTTCTCGTAACTATAGACGTCATATCACTGCTATAAAAACAGTCAAATGGCTGACTGTTGAAGGCGCCTTGAACTGTTGGATTATGACTAAATGGCTCAGGCAGGACGCTGTGGTTGCTTGATTTCTGACTTTTCTTATTGCCTTTTATTTTATATTTATGGTTTTTTAAGCTGTGGTATAATTCGTCATTTTTATGGATAGAGGACAAACTACATTCTGTAGTTTACTGTGTTTTTACTGTGTACTCTTACAACTACACATGGAGCTACACACTATGTACTCTTACTACTACACATGGAGCTACACACTGTGTACTGTTACTGTTACACTCGACGCTACACACAGTATACTGCTACTGTTACACTCGACGCTACACACTGTATACTGCTACTGTTACACTCGACGCTACATACTGTATACTGTTACTGTCACACTCGACGCTACACACTGTATACTGCTACTGTTACACTCGACGCTACATACCGTATACTGTTACTGTTACACTCGACGCTACATACTGTATACTGCTACTGTTACACTCGACGCTACATACTGTATACTGCTACTGTTACACTCGACGCTACACACTGTATACTGCTACTGTTACACTCGACGCTACACAGTAAACGCTACGATTACACAGTTATCAATAACGTATTCTTAATCTCTGTTGATATGAACAGAAGTAATGATACCTGTCAAACTTTTATTGATTCTGGTGATGTAAGTGAACCCATCAGGGAAGTAAATAATGAATATGAATCTTCAGGGTATTACAGAGAAGTTGTGGAAGTTGATTTGTATATGTTTTCTGACTATGTTGAAAGTGTTTTGAAACGCACTGTAATAATGTCTGATAGCTTGGTCTATGTTTATACAATTTTTGATATACAATATACATTTAACTCAGCACAACAGACAACTCATCATCTCACATAACCACCACTAATACCTCACCATCAACTCCCCACCAACACCACCACAGCTGTCAGTACCAAAACGAGGTTTTTACCACTAGTTCACTATCACAACCACCATCAGCGTACCTCAAGAAGCTCATCACCGTCAATAGCACCAGTTCACCCCCAAATATCAGCTCACCCCAATCAGCTTACCACAACAGTCAACAAACCACCACGACCACAAGCACACCACAACACCCAACTCACCGCCATCACAACCACAATCACCAGCACAGGATACCCACCATTTCCCGCACAAACTCACCACCATCACCAAGACTGAATGCCAACCATTATCACCACTGTCACCACTACTGGTTCAGGTCCTTCATGACTCTCGTCAGTTCAACATCATCACTACCAGCTCACCATAATAATCGGCTGACCACCATCAGCTCACGACAAAAACAAAAAAAAAAACAACTCACCACTACCAGCTCATCCCCGCCAAAACCATCAGCTTACTATTACTACTAGATCACGCCCTAACTAGATCACACCCTAACTAGATCACACCCTAACTAGATCACGCCCTAACTAGATCACACCCTAACTAGATCACACCCTAACTAGATCACACCCTAACTAGATCACACCCTAACTAGATCACGCCCTAACTAGATCACACCCTAACTAGATCACACCCTAAACTAGATCACACCCTAACTAGATCACACCCTAACTAGATCACGCCCTAACTAGATCACACCCTAACTAGATCACACCCTAACTAGATCACGCCCTAACTAGATCACACCCTAACTAGATCACACCCTAACTAGATCACACCCTAACTAGATCACGCCCTAACTAGATCACACCCTAACTAGATCACACCCTAACTAGATCACGCCCTAACTAGATCACACCCTAACTAGATCACACCCTAACTAGATCACAGCCCTAACTAGATCACACCCTAACTAGATCACACCCTAACTAGATCACACCCTAACTAGATCACACCCTAACTAGATCACAACCTGACTAGATCACAACCTGACTAGATCACATCCTAACTAGATCTCATCCTAACTAGATCACACCCTAAATAGATCACATCCTATTTAGATCACACCCTAACTAGATCACAATCACAACCTGACTAGATCACACTCTAACTAGATCACACCCTAACTAGATCACACCCTAACTAGATCACACCCTAACTAGATCACACCCTAACTAGATCACACCCACACCCTGACTAGATCACACCCTAACTAGATCACACCCTAACTAGATCACAACCTGACTAGATCACATCCTAATTAGATCACACCCTAACTAGATCACGATCACAACCTGACTAGATCACACCCTAACTAGATCAACCCTAACTAGATCACACCCTAACTAGATCACACCCTAACTAGATCACACCCTAACTAGATCACACCCTAACTAGATCACACCCTAACTAGATCACAACCTACTAGATCACATCTAATTAGATCACACCCTACTAACTTTGATCACGATCACAACCAGACTATGTATTACATCTAACTAGATCACACCCAACTAGATCACACCCTAACTAGATCACACCCTAACTAGATCACGATCACAACCTAACTAGATTACATCCTAACTAGATCACACCCTAACTAGATCACACCCTAACTAGATCACACCCTAACTAGACGACACCCTAGCATAACAACCATAATAGCCAGCACAGGAATCTCACCATCAGCTTATCGTCACCCCACCACCATCTGATCACAAGAATCAGCTTACCAATGCTACCACAACCACCATCTCATTACAGCAACTCATCACTATCTCACCACAATCTAATCCCCAACAGCAGCTAGTCTCCACCATATTATTTTTGACTAGCAATCAGTCATCACAAGTTGGGAAGTTCTGCGGTCGCATCATCATTCGTAAGCGCTGGACATTGATCCAGGTTTCGACGTTTTTTGTCCAGTAATTAGTCAACTTGTATTTTTCGTGGGAACCAGTGGGCGCTATGTAAGCGCAGTTCTTGTACCACCACCCGCCTCCAACTGAGAGATATTCGGTGCAAGCCCCATCTGTGGACCAATAAACACATGAATTACTGAGTTTTGATGATATTCAAGCACGCACGCACGCACACACACCAACAAGCAACAAGGGGTCAAGGTTGGAGGTTGAAGACTCAGATGAATCACAGGGATGTTAGGAAGTATTTCTTCAGTCACAGAGTAGTCAGGAAGTGGAATAGTTTGGAAAGCGATGTAGTGGAGGCAGGATCATTTCATAGCTTCAAGAAGAGGTATGACAAAGTTCGTGGAGCAGGAAGAGTGACCCAGTAGCGGCCAGTGAAGAGGAGGGCCAGGAGCCGTGAATCGACCCTTGCAACCACAACTAGGTGAGTACACACACACAGGAACAAGGGGTCACAACTGGAAGCTGAAGACTCAGACGAGTCACAGGGACGTTAGGAAGTATTTCTTCAGTCATAGAGTCGTCAGGAAGTGGAATAGCCTAGCAAGTGAAGTAGTGGAGGCAGGAACCATACATAGTTTTAAGAAGAGGTATGATAAAGCTCAGGAAGCAGAGAGAGAGAGGACCTAGTAGCGATCAGTGAAGAGGCGGGGCCAGGAGCTGAGTCTCGACCCCTGCAACCACAATTAGGTGAGTACAATTAGGTGAGTACACACAATAGTACAAGGTGTAAGAAAAAGAACGGTGTAAAACGTAAATGAGCATAGAGAAAAAGAGAATGAACAGAGAGAGAGAGAACTATGATTTATAATTCAATAAAGAGGTTAGTTAAAAGAACACAAGAGCGCATTAGAATCAAAGTTAAAGATGAACTGAAAACAACTACTGCATACTAATTAAATGCATTTACACAACTAGATCAGAGGAGGGATAATTATAAAGAAAAAATAGATCGAATGTATACAGTACTGAGATTTCGATAACTCAGACACATGGGCAACACCTGGGTATATTTACTGGAAATAAATGAAAATCCTATGGACAACCTTTTTTTTTTCCGACTTTTAATAAGAAAAATTAGACATTTCGGTCCCCGGAAGAAAAGTGGTGACTTGTCAAGGCCAGTCGGCCAAACTGTCGAAGGGGCGGGAGTGATAGGAGACAATCACCTAGAGACGTTGCCCATTGCAAAAAAAAACCTTAACCACGGGTGGTGAGGGTCAAGAGCTCAAAACTCCAAAGAGGCGGCGTATAGAAGGGCCCAAGTCAGCCACAATAAGATTGCCAAAAAAATACACATGGGGTTTGACTCCCGTAAAAGAGAATTAAAACTAACCCTCGGTACCCAGGGCAGGTAACAAAAAGATTTTAAAAGGAGTTTAACGGGTTCCTCTTTAATTACATTTTAAAACCCCAATTGTATTAGGCTGCGTTAACATAAAAAATTAACAGGTATTACATTCCCTTTCAAAAAAACCCCACACAACCACCCACCCAACACAAAAAACAACTTTGACGTCCTTGCAAAAGGAAAACACAAAACACACACACACACCCCACACAACATTATTATAATTATATATATATATTATATATATATATTATATAAATTATATATATAAAATAATTATATTATTTTATATAACAAGTTCGGCCGTCTCCCACCGAGGCAGGGTGACCCAAAAAGAAAGAAAATCCCCAAAAAGAAAATACTTTCATCATTCAACAACTTTCACCTCACTCACACATAATCACTGTTTTTTCCAGAGGTGCTCAGAAACAAACATTTAAAAAGCATATACGTATAAGATACACAACATATCTCTCAAACTGCTAATATCCGAAAACCCCCCTTTTGAGTGCAGGCATTGTTACTTCCCATTTCCAGGGCTCAAGTCCGGCTATATAAAAACCGGGTTTTCCCCGAATCCCTTCACTAAATATTACCCCGCTCACCCAACCCCCCAACAGATCTTCAGGTCCCAAATTTCCATTCGTCTCCATTCATCTATCGAACACGCTCATGCACGCCTGCTGGAAGTCCAAGCCCCTCGCCCACAAAAACCCCCCTTACCCCCTTCCTTCCAACCTTTTCGAGGACGACCCCTACCCGCCTTCCTTCTTCAGATTTTTTACGCTCTCCTGTCATTCTACTTTGATCCATTCTCTCTAAATGACCAAACCACCTCAACAACCCCTCTTCACCCTCTGACTAATACTTTTATTAACTCCACACCTTCTCCCAAATTTCCACACTCCGAATTTTCTGCATAATATTTACACCACACATTGCCCTTAGACAGGACATTCTCCACTGCCTCCAACCGTCTCCTTGCTGCTGCATTCACAACCCAAGCTTCACACCATATAAGAGTGTTGGTATTTCTATCTTTCATACATTCCCTTCTTTGGCCCCCATAGATAACGTTTTTTGTCTCCACATTACCCCAAACGCACCCCTCACCTTTTTCCCTCACAATTCTATGACTAACCTCATCCTTATTATTTTTAATATATATATATTTTATATATTATTATATATAATATTAATATATATATATATTATATATATATATATATTTATGCAAAAAAGATCACAGTAAACAGGTGATTTCGAATTATGCAAAAAAAACCACTCTGAAAGAATAGAGAAATTCAAGCGCTTTCGTGACTACTCACATTATCAAGGAACTATGATAATGTGAGTAGCCACGAAAGCGCTTGGAATTTCTCTATTCTTTCGAGTGGTTGTTTTGCATATATATATATAAAATATATATATTTTATTATATATATTATATATATATTATATATTTTATATTATATATATATATATATATAAAATGAATGTATGCTTAATTAGTATATAATGCTGAATACTTATTCTACTTTACCTGCTTTAAGAGATTTAATGTGACGATGGACTTACTTCGATTATCATTGTCTCTGTCTCGAGTGGAGAACTTGCTTCCATTTAAGTTATGGTGGCTTACCATGGGGTCGCCCATGGTACTGGCCTCTTGGTAACCTTCTACTCGCATCTGGTACCTGGTTCATGGATGGGAGATACGAAGTAAGCTTGTGTCTTGATTTCTCACTTAAGATGAGCTACAATGTAACTTGAACTAGAAAAGATAAATTTAAGTATTAGTGAACAGAATTATAACAAGGAAAATGAATCACATAGGCAAAAATGTCTTAGAATTAACTAATAAAATTTTAGGAAACCCACTACCCTAACGTCTTCAACCATCTCAACCACCGTCAACATCATCATAACCACAATCACCAGTAGGACTACCGGTGATGGTGCAACCATCAACCCACCTCCCCCCACCAACAATACTGTCAACAATAACAATAACACCAGCAGCTGCAAAATTATTTTCAACACCGGCAACACCAACTGTTGCAACGATAGCCCAGCCAAAAAAAGTGTACATACACTAATAGTAATAGGATAAGTAGCACAAGAGGAATATCAACAACAGGAAAACATGAGTTGATACACTAGCAGCCTCAGCAAAAACAAAAGCAACAGCAAAAGTATCAGACGCAAGAGTAGCAGATCCAAGAGCAGTGACTCAAGAGTATGAGACACTAGCAGCACCACGACGAGCAGCACCACAACGAGCAGCACCACAACGAGCAGCACCACAACGAGCAGCACCACAACGAGCAGCACCACAACGAGCGGCACCACAACGAGCAGCACCACAACGAGCAGCACCGCAACGAGCAGCACCACAACGAGCAGCACCACAACGAGCAGCGCCGCAACGAGCAGCACCAACAATAGCAGATAGTTTCATTTTGCTTTGATTTTCTTCTGCATCGAAGTTTCATTCCATTGTTTTAAGTTAGTGACTTTGTGTTTAAAATAGTTCTTCGCGTGAAGGTGTATCAAAATCATTCATCTTTAAGGGAGTGATTGGGTTCTCTTAGCCTCCGTTCCCTAAGAATGAAAGAGGTGAAGTGCTTTGATACTTCGTTAACATCGTTGCCCTTCTCTGTACCTCAGCCTATCTTCGTGTTTTTTTTTTGTTTTTTTTTTTGGGGGGGGGGCAATTTTTAGAGCGAAATGGATAGCATATTCATGATGCCGTGTAACTAGTGCACGGGTGATTATGCAGCCTTAATTGATTCACGTGTCGTTGATATTGTGGGGAAAGGTGGTTAATATCTCTGCTGGAGAAGTAACGATTTTCCATGGTTTATTTTAAAACTGAAGGATTGATAATCCGGAATAACCCAGGAAAGCCAGGCAGTGTGACTTCCACTGGGTAGCTTATGACTTTTTAGAATGCGACTTAAAATAGTTGACTAATTCTTAGGTATCTATTTAGTGATAGGTGAGCAGGGACAGTAAGTATAGTCAGACTTGCCAAAACATCTCTCCTCGCCTAAGGCGAGGAGAGTCTTTACGTTTGTGATTTTAATTCTGTACCAAATGTGCGCCACCATATGTTCCAGCAGCATTCAACAACTGTCAGTGAAGGATCTGTTTACAATAGCTATTGTAGGATAATGTTCGGAGGGACGGGTCAAGGTATGGCATCAGCCATATTCGAGCGAGTAAATGTTCAGTGTCACAGTGAACTAAAGACGTCGACGAGTATTTCTTCAAATACAGTGCTGAATAATTTTGGAAGACGTGATGAATAATAAAATATGAGAATACTTAAAATGGCTGTAACACATTTTGTAATAAAGTTGGTAGAATTACCGACAATATGTAAAGTAAAAGGACACAAGTGCAACTAATGTGACATTTATTGTGGCAACGTTTCGCTCTCCAGGAGCTTTATCAAGCCATTACAAACAATACATGGACACAGAGGGTATATAAAGGCTCAGAGTGAGGCGAATACTAGTGAGGTACCATTTCGATGTTCACTAGTGGTAGTAGTAGTAGTAGTAGTAGTAGTGGTAGTGACAAAAGTAATACAATATGGTAGAGCAATTAATTCGTACATGAGTAAAAGGATATAAAAGCTATTACTTGGGTAACATAAAAATAGGTTGGACAAATATAAACTGGAATGAGGCAGGTTGTTTCAGTGTTCACTCTCTGTGCTTTGTGTAGTATAACAGGAGAGACTATGTGATGGCAGGGTTTACTGTTTTCAGGAGGATTCTTGCTAAGACTTCGGAGATGGTGAAGCTGCCGTTGTTTTGTTTAATTGTATTCAAAACAGCGATCAGTGCTGATTCAAGGCACTTGCGTGTGCGGAAATTAGTTTCTTTTATCACTAATTGGGCGTCTCTGAATTTCATAAGATGATTGGTTTGTAGATGAATGGTTCAGAGAACCGACATGTTGATAAATTAGACACATGTGCAACTCTTGGGTATCTTTATTGAGGAAACGTTTCGCCACACAGTGGCTTCATCAGTCCATACAAAGGAGAATCTTGAAGAACAGGAGGAGAATGAGGTAATCAGTCCCTCAACCTTGAGTCGATGTGGTCAGTCCATCAATCTTGAATAGAATACGGCATACGTGCTGAGAAGGAGCTTATAAACCGTTGGCAGGAGAGGTGAAGCAGTCATAGGTCGTGTAACATTTGTTCAATGTTGAAGTAGGTCGTGCCCAAGAATTAGGCAAGCGAAGAATTCCCAAGTATTAAGATCCCAAGAAGTTGCAGTGTCTGACAGGTTTGTAGATGAATGGTTCAGAGAACCGACATGTTGATAAATTAGACACATGTACAACTCTTGGGTATCTTTATTGAGGAAACGTTTCGCCACACAGTGGCTTCATCAGTCCATACAAAGGAGAATCTTGAAGAACAGGAGGAGAATGAGGACTGTGGACTGACCACATCGACTCAAGGTTGAGGGACTGATTACCTCATTCTCCTCCTGTTCTTCAAGATTCTCCTTTGTATGGACTGATGAAGCCACTGTGTGGCGAAACGTTTCCTCAATAAAGATACCCAAGAGTTGCACATGTGTCTAATTTATCAACATGTCGGTTCTCTGAACCATTCATCTACAAACCTGTCAGACACTGCAACTTCTTGGGATCTTAATACTTGGGAATTCTTCGCTTGCCTAATTCTTGGGCACGACCTACTTCAACATTGAACAAATGTTACACGACCTATGACTGCTTCACCTCTCCTGCCAACGGTTTATAAGCTCCTTCTCAGCACGTATGCCGTATTCTATTCAAGATTGATGGACTGACCACATCGACTCAAGGTTGAGGGACTGATTACCTCATTCTCCTCCTGCTCTTCAAGATTCTCCTTTGTATGGACTGATGAAGCCACTGTGTGGCGAAACGTTTCCTCAATAAAGATACCCAAGAGTTGCACATGTGTCTAATTTATCAAGATGATTGGTGGAATTTCGGTGTTGTACACAGGCGTTGTTTAAGTTGTCGTTCCTACATGCGTATATGTGTTCATTGAGGCGGGTGTCAAGGTTTCTTGCTGTTTCACCTACGTAGATCTTGTCACAGCCTCCACAGGGTATAGTGTAAACTCCTGCATTGACTGGTTCGTGGTGCTTGGGTTTTGTCCTGGTTAGATCCTTTATTGAAGTGGTAGAAGCGATGGCGACTCTGGTGTTAGCTTGTGAAAGTACTTTTGAGACGTTTAGTGCAACCTGGCTGTTGGGAAGAATTATAACTTTGTTGGGAGCGGTGTTGATGCGTGGAGAATTGATGATCTGAAGAGCTCTTTTCTTGCAGTCTTTGATGAAAAAAGAAGGAAATTGTAACTCAGTGAATGTTTGGTGAATGTAAGTACATTCCTCGTCAAGAAACTCAGGACTACAAATTCGGTATGCTCTTAGGAAAAACCCGATGATGATGCCTCTTTTGGTCTTGGTATCTTGACTGGAATAGAAGTGTGTGAGATCATTTTTATTGGTGGGTTTCCGATAAACTTGAAATCTTAGGTTGTTGTCTACTTTGTGAATGAGGACGTCGAGGAAAGGTAGCTTGTCATTGGACTCTTCTTCTAGTGTAAACTGAATCGCTGGTTCAACTGCGTTGAGCCTTGCCTGAAGATCCCCTACATCAAAACGTTTTGGAGTTATTACGAGGACATCGTCCACGTAACGTAACCAAGTGACGCTTGAAGGGATGATGTTGGCGAAGTGTTCGGACTCTAGGTGTTCCATGTATAAGTTGGCTAGGACGGCACTTATTGGGGACCCCATTCCCATGCCGTAGGTTTGTTTGTAGAGCTTGTTATTGAAGGAAAAACAGTTGAAGTTAACACAGAGTTCAATCAAGTCAACAAAATCTCCGGGAGGTAAAGGAAGATTAAGGTCCTGGTTGACTTTACGTCGTAGAACCTCGATGGCTTTTTTGGTAGGTACTTTTGTGAAGAGGGAAGTCACATCCAAACTGCTTAGTTTCTTGTTACGGATGGAGAGGTTACGGATGCGGTTGAGAAGGTCGCCTGAGTGTTTAAGATGAGCGGGGCTGATGGTCCCCAGAAGGCAGGAAAGATGTTTGGCAAGAACTCGGCTAGTTTGTGTGGAGCACTGCCTATTCCTGACGTGATTGGTCTGAGAGGAATATTGTGTTTATGGGTCTTGGGTAAACCATACATGTGTGCTGGTTTAGGGTTGCTTGGTAACAAGTACAGAAGTTTCTTCCCTTCTCTAGTGCGTTTGAGTATTTGTCTGGTTTTGTATAGAAAGTCTTTGGTGAGCGTCTCCCACTGTTGAGTGCTGATGGGTTCGTATGTAGATTGTAACACATTTTGTTCATCCGTTCTTGACGACCTCTCTAAAAGAGGTAAGTAAACACGGTCCATATTCTATAGGTTAAATTATATGAATGTAGGTGAACTGAGTATCTTTTAGAGAAAGTAAGACGAAAATTACTCACTGTGTACTCTCGTCAGCGACGTTGAAGGTGGAATAGTGTGCCCAGCGATGTTCATCTTCCAGGTTAGTAACGGAAAGTCGCAGTGCCTGGAGCGAGTTCAGTGTCAGCTGGTGCAACGTCTCCAACCCTGTCCACACATTACTTATTCACACATAGTAATATATAGCACTGCCAGTGTCAATGAAGCTAAAACGTCGCATGAGAGAAATAAAAAAAAGGAATAAAAACAAAAGGAATAAGAAAAGCAAAAAGGGATTATGAGGCTAAGGTCGCAAGGGATTCGAAGACTAACCCAAAAGGGTTCTTTCAGGTGTACAGAAGTAAGATTAGGGACAAGATAGGCCCACTTAAGAGTAACTCAGGTCAGTTTACTGACAGTGAAAAGTATGTGTGAAATTTTAAATACCTACTTCCTCTCAGTTTTGACCCAGGAAAATACTAGCGATATTCCTGAAATAATAGATTATGTAGAACAGGATGATAATAAACTATGCACGATTGCAGTAACTAGTGACATGGTCCTCAGACAAATAGAGAAACTAAAACCTAACAAATCCCCAGGTCCTGATGAACCGTTTGCAAGGGTTCTAAAGGAATGTAAAGAGGAACTTAGCATACCTTTGGCTAATCTTCTCAACATATCACTACAAACTGGCATAGTGCCTGATAAGTGGAAAATGGCAAATGTAATACCTATGTACAAGGCAGGTGACAGGTCCTTAGCTTCGAACTATAGAACTAAGCCTTACCTCCATAGTGGGAAAATTTATGGAATCAATAATTGCCGAAGCAATTCGTAGCCATCTTCATAGGCATAAATTGATTAATGAATCTCAACACGGTTTTGCAAAGGGGCGTTCCTGTCTTACGAATTTGCTAACTTTTTTTCACTAAGGTGTTTGAGGAGGTAGATCATGGTAATGAATATGATATTGTGTATATGGACTTCAGTAAGGCTTTGCATGAGTTCTACATCAGAGGCTATTGAGGAAAAATTTGAGGAGAAATTTTTTCCTTGGTAGAGGCATGGCTGACAAATAGGCAGCAGAGAGTTTGGATAAATGGGGAAAAATCAGAATGGGGGCACGTCACAAGCAGTGTTCCGCAGGGGCCAGTGTTGGGCCCGTTGTTGTTCACAATTTTACATAAACGACATAGACGAGGGAAAAAATAGCGACATAAGCAAATTTGCTGATGACACCAAAATAGACCGGCCATTTCATTCTAATGAGGACACTAGAGCACTCCAGAATGATTTGAACAGACATGCAGTGATCGGAGAAGTGGCAGTTGCAGTTTAATATTGACAAATGCGAAGTTCTAAATGTTGGACAGTTAAATAACCATGCCACATATAAACTAAATAATGTAGATCTTAATACTACTGATTGCGAAAAGGATTTAGGAGTTCTGGTTAGCAGTAACCTAAAACCAAGACAACAGTGCATTAGTGTTTGCAATAAAGCTAACAGAATTCTTGGCTTCATATCAAGAAGAATAAATGATAGAAGTCCTCAGGTTGTTCTTCATCTCTATATAACCTTGGTTAGGCCTCATTTAGACTATGCTGCTCAGTTCTGGTCACCGTATTACAGAATGGATATAAATGCTCTGGGAAACGTACAGAGGAGGATGACAAAGTTGACTGATCCCATGTATCAGAAATCTTCCCTGTGAGGATAGACTGAGGGCCCTGAATCTGCACTCTCTCGAAAGGCGTAGAATTAGGGGGGATATGATCGAGGTGTATAAATGGAAAACAGGAATAAATAAAGGGGATGTAAATAGCGTGCTGAAAATTTCCAGCCAAGACAGGACTCGCAGTAATGGTTTCAAGTTGGAAAAAATCAGATTCAGGAAGGATATAGGAAAGCACTGGTTTGGTAATAGAGTTGTGGATGAGTGGAACAAACTCCCGAGTACAGTTATTCAGGCTAAAACATTGTGTAGTTTTAAAAATAGGTTAGATAAATACATGAGTGGGTGTGGGTGGGTGTGAGTTGGACCTCACTAGCTTGTGCTACTAGGCCTGATACAGTGCTCCTTCCTTAAGTGGAAGCGACCTGACTTGGTGGGTCATTGGGCTAATCCGGGGGGGGGGGACGTGGACCTGCTTCGCATGGGTCAGTAGGCCTGCTGCAGTGTTTCTTCTTTTTTATGTAATTATGTTCTTTAAAAAATATTTATGCAAGTACATGAGTAGGTGTGGGTAGGTGTTAGACGGATCTGTTTAGCTTGGGTCAGTAGGCCAGGACTAGTGCTCCTTCCTTTTTAAATAGGTGTGACTTGGACCTGCCTGGCATGGACCAGTAGGCCTGCTGCAGTATGTCGTCTTACTTATGATCTTATCTATTGAAGAAAATTATAGAAAAAACGATATGCAGTCATTCTGGAAAGAAATATACTACAAGAATAAAATTAAGAACTGAAACGTTATTGAGGATTTAGGAAGTATTTTTAGACATGGTAGATAAGACACATAGGCAACATTTAGGCAACTTTATTCCGAAACGTTTCGCCTACACAGCAGGCTTCTTCAGTCGAGTACAGAAGAAGCCTGCTGTGTAGGCGAAACGTTTCGGAATAAAGTTGCCTAAATGTTGCCTATGTGTCTTATCTTCCAACCTGTCGGTATTGTATACCATTTGATAATCACTTTTAGGCATAAATTCTTCTTACCTAACCAATACTCTGCTGAGACGTTACCAAAACCGGCCTTGTAGTCTGACCAATCCTTAGTGAAATTTTGCCAGGGTTTTTCTGCCTTGTCTCTGTTTAAGAACACCGTCCAGCCACCTGTAAACCAATATTTCTTCAAAACTGTAACAATTAGAGCATATTCTTTGTTCAGCACGAAATTTAGTTTTCATTCATTAATTACTACTGCTACTTCTATTGTTATTTTTGTAACTGCTACTGTTACCCATTAAGTATTAGCTGTAAACAGATACCTAAGTATTTTGTAACTTTTAGGTAGCATCCCGCAGGGTGGTATCTTACCTCGCTCAGGGCTGAGAATTTAAATGTTCTGAGTACTGTTAATAGCAATCGGGTTGCAAACTCAGCTATAAATAATAACTAAGAAATATTCAGACAGTCCACAGGAATAATAAAAAAAAAAGATACCAGGTATAGATATATCTTACCTCCATCAGTTGTCATGTCGCACCAGACAGACACCTTTCCTGCGTCCCTGTAAGTGACAAACAATCGCAAAATAAGAGACGTGTATTGTATAATTTAAAACATGTATAGTATTTATATTCTTTGGATTAGGTTGTATATACGCATGATCACAGCTGGTTTCAGCAGTTCAGGGACCAGCAAGTGGTTCACTGAGTGGACTCCCTGAGAAGAGGTAATTCAGTGGTAGAATGTCCTGATAGTACGTAAATAAAACTCATTTCTTAGCTTATGGCATTTTATGAAAACGTTCCTCATACCAGTGACTTCACCAATTCATCATGAATTGATAACGTTGCTGGTGGTTGATACGCCTTCGTAAATAAATGACATAACCGCAAACTATGTTTAATTTGTGGAAAAAGACACTTATGTACAGTTCAGGACATTTATTAAAGGAAACGTTTCGCCACGAGTGGCTTCTTTAGTATGTTTAATTTACATACAACCTTCCTGGGGCTTGAGTCACAACGTCACTGGCAAGAAGACGAACATTCCTTCGCTTTATCAGTTCACATTCTGAATGAATTTTTACTTTAAATCATTGGGAATATGTGCTAATTTTGAAAAAAAATTTAAAAAGGCAATTTAAGATATAGCTATAATCCCGGAACTAACGTAAAGAGGTATGTCACGATTTAGTTATACTCTTGGAGCTGACTAAACCAAGCAGGATAAGAGATAGTTATTCTTCTCTTTGATTTGTCTTAGATAAGCAGGAGGGTATGAAGATGTACTCTACGTGGTGACGTAAACAAGCAGTTGAAGATATGATTATGCTCTGAAAACTGGCTTGCAATAAGCAGGTTTCTCATTTATCATTCTTAAGACTATACAAAATGTAAAGATAATTGTAACCGGGAGGTGTTATGGACTGAAGTCACTGATGATGGCAAGATATTTGGCTGAAAGAGCGAGAGTAAACTTGAGATGATTTTGGTCGCTGTATGATCCGTGAAATGTCCCCACATTGCATAATTCATGGTCTATGTATCACAACGCAAGCGTTGGAAATGTACAGAGTGCTGCTTAAGTTCATAATGCAGCTAAATATTAGCGTTGAAGATGTGAAGCAAATCAGAGAAGCGTTCACAGGATATATGGAAACTAAGATCCCAATTATTTTAATAAAAGTGGCAAATTAATACTTTCATAGTGCAAAACTAGTTTAAACCTTCCAATAATAACATCAGCTTTTTCTTATCTCAGAAAGGTCTAGAGAGCACACACATAGCACATAAAAAAATATTAATTAGTTTTAACCTATGATAACCCACTTAAGTCAAGCGCTATGACTTACTTCCAATCAATGGAGACACTCTCCACGTATTAAATATTGTTTTTAATAAAACTAGCACATTTAAACTTACACTGCGTAAAAGTGAGAAGTTTTCAGAGGGGGAAACAAGTCAGTACTAAAAGACATTAACTACCCACGAGGAGCAGTCTCCAATAACTGCAAAGAATCCAACAGATTCAAGTTTACTGTGTTATTAAAACAGATATACGTACTTCGTATTAAGATTCACCAGCCGAAGCCAAGCAGATGAGGCTTCCTATTATTTCGTGGAAACTACTTTAGATAATAACATGATCAATTTAAAATTTACATAGATCAAAGTGATGACCGAGGATTATGTTAATAACGTCCATCAACACTCAAAGTTTAAAGCCACTGAGAAAGTCACACCCCGGCAATTTTTCTGATTCCAACGATTCCAATTTTTTTCACTCAAAATTTGCAATTTGCATCGAAAGAGTCTATACTTATAAAGTATCTTATATCTTATGAAATGCAGAATATGCATCCTTTAGTTTCTGAATGGAAATAAATTTCACAATTTAATAAAATAGATAAAATCTGACTTATGCAGCCCATCAACACAGTGAACCAAGTGTTGCTAGAAACTCACGGACACTAAAGGTTTCAAACTTAGCAGAAGAAGCATTCTTCGGTTAATGCACAGATTCCAATGATTCAAAGTTATTTTTTTAACTAATTTAGCATATAGACAAAGTTTCCTGCACACAAAGTATATATTATAGGTACTATCGTGGAAGAAAGATGCATCAGCCATTAAATGTTGAAGCTGTTCAGAAGAGGAAGATATTAATTTAACTTGATTTAACGGAAATGGAAATTCACCCATTATTTTATTCGTAAAATTGGCAATTGTGCAACTACACATTACTCTCTGCCTACGTAGAATTATTAGGTACGATTTCTTGAACATATGAAGCTATGCTTCACGTGATTTTGAAAGTTATCAGTGCTATTCTGGGATGCTGGGAATGGTTTCTAAAACTTAGGTAATAAGGCACCTTGTACGTGACCAGAATGTGGTCCTCATTACCGAACACAAGCATTGAAAATTTGAAGCTCATTGGATGTAGCCATCTTGTGTCATGATAAACAAAAACGAAACTTTGGAGGAAGAAATAATTCAGACAACTATTAAAGGTCTCCCTTTGGGGTAATTAACAAGGGTCGAGTTAGTACATTCATAAGTATGCAATACAGTCACAAACAGGCGATGTTTACAATGCTGAATAATCCACATGGAAATCTTTAGCTTTAGATTTTTCGCTCTCTCGTACATCGCCAGGAGCTATGCAATGCTGCACGACAGCAACAGATTTGAGGGGAAATTCTCTGAGACAAGGCAGAAGATATCATGTGCCTGCACTAATAACTTCTACCTGGTCTCAGAGAATTTTCCCTGAAATCTGTTGCTGTCTTGCAGCCTTGCATAACTCCTGACGATGCACGAGAGTGCAAAAGATCTGAAGTTAAAGATTCCCATCCCAACGTGGCTTGTCCTGCATTAATAAGCATATACAGATACGGCCGATGCTGATATGGGTTGCGGCGCACAATATGATACAGTATACACAATGCTGATCGATGTATACTTTACCTAAGATATAACTTGACTTTCTCATACACTTTTTGCTTAAACTGATTTTGTGTAAACTTGTCTAGTCATACACATCCTGGCTGACCTGACATTACCTGACAGGTTTGATGAGGTAGACTCCGTTCAATCGTGCTCCCCTGCAGTACAAATCCGCACAGTTCTTGGCAGTCGTTAACCTGAGAATAAAGTGATGTTTAGTTGCCCAGATTGTGTCAGCGTTTTAAGAAACTTGCATTTTGTAGTAACTGCGCCTATTACGTATCAAACAAAATCAGATGAAAATTATATCCATGCTGTAAACGTTTCATTTATATATTATATATATATATATATATATATATATATATATATATATATATATATATATATATATATATTTTATGCAAAACAACCACTCTGAAAGAATAGAGAAATTCCAAGCGCTTTCGTGACTACTCACATTATCAAGGAACTGAGTTCCTTGATAATGTGAGTAGTCACGAAAGCGCTTGGAATTTCTCTATTCTTTCAGAGTGGTTGTTTTGCATATTTTGAAATCACCTGTTTACTGTGATCTTATTGCATATATATATATATATATATATATATATATATATATATATATATATATATATATATATATATATATATAAACAAGCAGTACATTAAAATTCTTAGATATAAATGTTTACAAATAAGTTTCTCTCCTCTATTTGGCTCAGAATTAAAAGAGGATAGAACCAAGAATTAAGTGCATCACATGAACATAATAATAAGGCTAATAATAATAATAATAATAATAATAATAATAATAATAATAATAATAATATCCCTGTGTATCATTATTAAAAACATTAAGAGTGTAAAAAAGTGATGAATACGACACATGTTCAATACCTGTATATCAATTCATTATAGAGGTAATTTGAAGGTATTAAAATAGTATTGAATTAATAATAGCCATTAGTTTGCGAAACTCGTAAAAATAAAGATACGCAGGTGTTGCACATGTTTGGCTATTTTCCTACTGGAGTCACGGCTTTTTTTTTTTTTTTTACCTTGTGGAAAGGTGGGTGATATTCTTTTTGCATTCCTCGTAGTTTCCTTCTGTCAAAACATTCCGGTTATTAATTTGCTTAATTTCTTCCTTAATGCTCGTTATTAGCTGCTCGTTTCTGTCTTTCTCTTCTTGAAGGGCTGTGTTTCTTTCTCTCAGCGTTCTGACCTGGTCTTCTGAGTGTCCGAGTTGCTCTTCAATGAGCTTCTTTGATTCATGTGTATTGTTGTTCATTTCGTTACATATCAGTTTCTCTTTCTTTAGCTCTGTCTCTGTGTGTTCCAGCTCTCTGTTCCTCTCCTTCGTCAGTCTTACATCCTCCTTCATTTGGCGAATTTCTTCTTTCAGCTGGCTAATTTCTTCTTCTGCTAGGCGCACGTTATTCTTCGTTTTCCTGTTTTCCTCTTCCGACAGGTGGATCGCTGTCTTCAAGTTATTGCTTTCTTCTCTTATCCGAGCGTTGTCCTCTGTAAGAAGAGTGTTGTTGGTCCTCATGCAATCGTTTTCTTCCTTCATGTAAGTAATTTCCTCCTCCAGTAATGTGTTATTGTTCTTTAAGTTCCTGTTGTCCTCTCTTATGTGAGTGTTTTCCTCTACTAGGGCTGTGTTATTGTTCCTTAAATTATTGTTGTCTTTCCTTATGTGAGTGTTTTCCTCCGCCAGGAGAGAGTTGTTGTTCTTCAACTGAGAATTTTCTTCTCCCAGTAGATCCCTGTCTTCCTTAAGTTGCTGGTTATCTACTTCGAGGGCGTCTCTGGCACCATCCACCAAGTCCAGTTTGTCCAGAAGGTGACGGGTGACATTGCTCTTCTCGATACCTGAGAAGTAATCGAAGTTTAAACGAAGATATCTTTGTATATCTAAATAGCATTTTCAGATGACTTCTGAATGTATTTCGAAATATCTTGTGATGTTTTATATCATGATAAAAAGCAATGTCAATTTATTTTACACTATCTAATGTTTAAAAGCAATTCAAAACGTTCCTAACCACTCCAATTTCGCTAGCCTACTCTTCCTTATTTTCAAAGCAGAACATAAGAAAGTCTCAAGAAGTCTTCGTATACACTTAAAAGTACTTAACTTTCTAATACTTTGCTCTGTATTCATGTAAAGAATATAGCTGGACCCTGTCAGTAATTCAGCCGAACATTTATGTTAGGATACTTCAAGATTTATATTTTTATATTTAAATTACCTCATTACATAAGTTTATCTAATATACGACACTGGCGTTATATTTAGACACCTGACACTACCAGATAACTCTGACACTGTCAGTTGACACTGATCAGGGCCAGACCGTGACATGTAGACGACTCGGACTGGTCCATGTTTTGTCACCTGGGGCGAATATTTTTTAAAATGACGGAGATCATTTATTCCAGCAGAAAATCTATATACAGAGAAAGCAAAAATCTAATTGTACTATTGGTATTTATATCGACAAGTAAGGTGCCATTGCAAGAAAAAATCTAAAATTTATTTCCGGGAAGTTACCCGTCTGACTCGCCTCCTTATCCGGCCGTGACTCTGACACTTCCTGCTGTTACTGACACTTTCAGCTGTCACTGACACTTTCATCTGTCACTGACATTTCCAGCTGTCACTGACAACGCCATCTAAGAAAGATATTACTTATTAACTGGCACCTCTAGCTGACCCTGGCACCGCTAGCTAAACTAACACCGCGAACTAGTACTCTCACGAGCTAGTACTCGCACCACCAACCTACATACGCCAGTCATCAGACGATGGTAAACCTGGTACATTACATTGATCTTTGTTTAAGCATCAACATGTGTGTATCGCATACACCATGATAAAACATTTTTCCTTGTCTTGTGTTTCAGAAAAGTTATCTTCAGTTCCTTCCACTTCTTAAAACTTTCAATAAACTTTTTACTTGTATGTTAGAAAAGTTGTGAAAACTTTTCTCGCTTAAGTTCACAACTAAACTTTCCGCCAGTTCTTCACATCTCATTTGCAAATAACTTCTCTCTCAGTCTCTGGATTCTGCGGTTTAAAAGTAGAATTTTCTCTTCTACTAAGAGGGCCTGCGAGTTTTAGAACTCTCTTGCCATGGGTTCGAGTCTCACCCGATGCAATTGTCTTATTACGATTTCGTGAGTAATGGGTGTAGTTCACTGCATAGAAATCATATAACAGGATGTATTTCTGATAATGCACAATACGAGAAAGGCATCCCCATAGTGCATAACTCCAGTCCTCTGTTCGTCAGTGCACACAAAATTAACATGGCAAAGGGCTACATGAATCTATAATACAACTGAATACTATCACTGAAGATCCGATGTGAATCAGAAGAGGTTTTCACAAATTAACACATGGACATTAATATCTCAGTTTCTTCAGTAAAAATTGTAATAAACTGTAACGTAGCCCGAAACTATTTCTCATTTTCTGCTAAGAAACACTGATTTTGAAGCTAAGCTGAAGCATCAGTGTCATGTTATCTCAACGAGTGACCAGCGTTTAAGTATGCATATAATAAATCAAGAATTTTTTTACAACGGTGTTGAGGATACAAATTTATATTAGGTGCAGTAAAAATCACATGATGTAGTTTTAACCAAGGAAGGTCTGAAAACAAGTTGCAGAGGTTGGTGGAGGAATTTGGAAGGGTGTGTATAATAATAAAATAAAAGTGAACACATTAAGGAACAAGGTGATGGGAATGTAGATGAATGGTTCAGAGAACCGACATGTTGTTGAATTAGACACATGTGCAACTCTTGGGTATCTTTATTGAGGAAACGTTTCGCCACACAGTGGCTTCATCAGTCCATACAAAGGAGAAACTTGAAGAACGACTGCTGCCCCTCACCTGTCTACGGTTTACAAGCTGCTTCTCCGCTCATATGCCGTATTCTATTCAAGATTGATGGACTGACCACATCGACTCAAGGCTGAGGGACTGATTACCTCTTTCTCCTCCTGTTCAAGTTTCTCCTTTGTATGGACTGATGAAGCCATTGTGTGGCGAAACGTTTCCTCAATAAAGATACCCAAGAGTTGCACATGTGTCTAATTCAACAAGGTGATGGGAGTAACGAAAAGTTCAAGCAAAGAGAAAGTGAATGTTTGATTGGAAGGAAGAACTGTGAAGGAAGTGAACTTTTTTCTTGTTAGGTATCTGGGAATGGATGTGCCAGCAGATGCTTTTGTGAAAGATGAAGTGAACCATAGATTAAACGAGGGAAAGAAAGATGCGGGTGTGTTGAAGTATTTGAAATGAGGTTTTTCTATAGAGGCAAAAATGGAAATGCACCAAAGTCCTGTGGTACAGAGTATTAAACGTGTCATCAAGGTGAAGGCTGGAAGCAGAGATGTCACGTTTCAGAGTAAGTAAGTTTATTCAGGTACACACAAATACAGTTACATAGATTATCATACATAGCAGCATATGTGTAAAGAGCCTATGATAACCAAAAAAAAAGTCAGTGACTTATTCCAGGGAATTCGGTGCATGGAGTTTAAAAAATGGTGTGGGGGGTTACCAAAAGCATAAGTCAGGAAGCTGAGAGTGGGTTGATGAGGTGCCATTGGCAATTAGATGCATCAGCAGAATAGAATGGCTAAGAGAGTATATAAATTGGGAGTGGATGGAAGCAGGGGGAATAGGTCGACCCCGAAATAGATGGATAGAGATATAAAAAAAAAATGTACATCCAACAGGATTCTGCCAAAGTGTTTAATCGGAGTGATTGGAGACAAGTGATTTTTATGGCTTGCATGTGCTATTGGAATGTGTGCAATGTAAGATCTTATGAAGAGTTTCAGGACATGAGTCGTGGAGGTGATAAGTGTGGTACTTGCACACTAAGTAACGAGTGAGAATGATGCAGTTTGAAGGTTCATCTGCACTGATGTCAGCACACCTCTGGCAAGACAATGATCGAATGAATGACGGAGAATATACAGCGTTTGTATGTATATTCATTCATACATTAATATAGTGGATCGTGTAGGGATAACGTTGGAATAGAAAGTAAATCCTCTCATTAAAATGTGGCAGCCCCTGGTATAGATCACATACAATCGATGAGCAAGTCTGTGCAGACTGATAAATATATACATATTATTATCTTCAGCATCATGGAAAACACTAAATCATTAAGAGCAATGCAGGAATACATGTTCATACATGTATGGAAAAACTGAGCAGTTGTTTACAAATGTTGAAGATTTACCTTGTGTACACGTATCATCAAGAGCCAGCAGCCTGGTGGAGACAACTTCAGTCAAGTTCAGCATCTTAATTAGTACATTCTTAACACTCGTAATACCTGGAAAAAAACAAAAGCTCAAGTGCCTTAGAAATGAAGCTTGGTAATTGTTCATCTCTTTAAGGTTGAACTTAAATCGTACAGCCCAAGTTCCTTATTCGTGTCTTCTCTGGATTTATTTAATAATTCGTTCATGCACACACACACACACACACACACACACACACACACACACACACACACACACACACACACTGATAGAAGCAGATTAAAATGTAACTACTGCGACAGGCATCAGTCTTCATAGTATGATGCATCGTATATGGATATCTTATGGGTTTAGGCTGTGTAGGCACAATTCTGTTGATTTTTTTTGCATTAATCGGTCAGATATATATATAATATATATATATATATATATATATATATATATATATATATATATATATATATATATATATATATATATATATATATATATATATATATATATATTTACACATACATTTGTGAATATGACTAATTTTATTTGCTGACCTTCATCCAAGCCTTTATGTTCCTCTTGTAAGGCAATTTGACTGAAGATCATATTTGCTATCAAGTTAGATTCCTCACTGTTACCCGACACAGGTTCTGGGAGAGCGGCGGAGCATCCTGAGAGCAGCAGCAGCAGTAGAAGCAGCATCAGCTGAGCCATGACTGACCAACAAAATACACACTAACTCAAGAAACAGTGCTGATGCCAGCTTTTATATCACTCTGTCTGCCTCGCCCCCTTACTCCAGAACACATGCACTCTCCGCCCACACTTGATAAATCGTACACAAATCTCGAAGCTAGAGTAATATAGTATTTCCAGCAATATATCTAAATTATATGTATCCGTTTGTTAGAGCTAAAAAATTTTTGTGATTGGTACTGCTTTGTGCAGGATTAAGTTTGACGGCTGGAGTCATAAGAAGGTTGGCAGCATTGTTTCGTAACTTTGTCCGGAAGTGGGAGTAACAGGAAAATGTTTAGCGAAATCCAAACACACAATCACCCATTCATCCTCTCTCTCCTACAGCCACACCCACTTACACTTATTGAATCATCCCAACTCCCCACATGCCTCACTGGGCATGTCACTCATGTGAATATACATGTGGCTGTGGAAATCTCACAACTAATTTCATTATTCTCCCGTTTGGAATAACAGTCTTGCAAGCAGAACACATATCAATGTATTTACTCGCATCAGTAATGACATACCTCATTGTTTTAAATACTGCTTACTTAAGACAGGTTCTATGATCATTTTGTGCTAACTACAGAGAAGTATCTCACAGCGCTCGTCTATGTAACCTGTCTTTAATAGAAGTGTATGTTATTCATATTTCTAAACAGGAAATATTAGTACACGGTTTTGACTGAGTAAATGCACCGTCAAATTTGTAACAGTGGCTCAGGCATGAAAAATCTTCTGTAAGATATTGTGGAGAATTTTTAATTATTTTCCTACGATTTAAATATAAAAATTAGTAGGGATGATAAGGTTTATTGCATGTGCGGCCAGCAGTAGCAGCCTGGTTGATTAGACCCTGATGCACCAGGAAGCCTGGTCTCAGACCGGCCGCGGGGGCGTTGACCCCCGAAACCCTCTCCAGGTAAACTCCAGGTGTTAAATGTTAATATGACATTTAAAAGGTCATAAGAAACTAACATATTCATTATAATTTCTTTATAATTTAATATGGTATTATTGGGATATTGAAGGAATTTATATTCTGATAAGGAAAACGTATTGCACACCCAAAAATATCATAAATTTGAATATATGTGTACAAGATAGGAGAGCCAAAGTAAAAACGAGGAGAATGGAATACGAACCGGCTGGTTCGTAATAATAATAACAATAATAATGTATATTTCTACAAGTACATGTACAAGGTATACAGTCCTAGCTGACATCAGTGACATACTACTATGGAAATAAATGGTATGAAATACCGACATACTACTATATACAAAGTACCTTGTTATGCAGATCATTTCATGCAAATTAGGTAAATTTTGTCCTAATATGCAACCAACACCAGTCGACTATCACCCGGGTGCCCATTTTACTGATGGGTGAACATAGACAACCGGTGTAAAGAAACTAGCCCAATGTTTCTACCCTCACCGGGAATTGAACCCAAGCCCCTCGACGTGTGAAGCAAGAACACCTACTACCCACGTTCACCTGTCAGTAAAACAGGCAAATGGGTGTTAGTCGACTGGTGTGGGTCGCATCCTGGGACAAAATTGACCTAATTTGCCCGAAATGCTTTGCCTAACAAGCGGCTTTCTATATAGTATTATGTCATTGTTGTCAGCTAGGCCTGTATACCTTGTACATGTACTTGTAGAAATAAAGATCAGTATTATTACAATTATTATTTATTGTTGCTTTTAGTGTATTTTAAACTGGTAAGATTATGTTTAAATTTACAATAGTCATTGGTGTACTATTAGCTTTACAGTTTTCTCTGGAATTTTCTCTTAAGTAGATGGTATACTGCCATAAATACATGCTTTCCCATGCCCTCGAGTAAGAAGAGAGAGAGATTTCGTTCGGATTTTTAACCCCGGAGGGTTAGCCACCCAGGATAACCCAAGAAAGTTAGTGCGTCATCGAGGACTGTCTAACTTATTTCCATTGGGGTCCTTAATCTTGTCCCCCAGGATGCGACCCACACCAGTCGACTAACACCCAGGTACCTATTTGCTGCTAGGTGAACAGGACAACAGGTGTAAGGAAACGTGTCGAAATTTTTCCACCCGCCGGGAATCGAACCCGGGCCCTCCGTGTGTGAAGTGGGAGCTTTAGCCACCAGGTTTATAGCATGAATTTCTAGATCAACTAGCAATGATATGTACAATACAAGGTATTAAATAGTTCATTTCTTGACCCAAGAATTTTGCAAAATATTGACCTTTGGAAATACCATGAACCTAACTGAAATGTCTCAATAAAAAAATTTATTGAGTTACAGCTGCAAACTTTTTAGATGATCACACTTGTTTTATATAATCAAATGTGTAAATGATTTAAAAAGAGTCAAAGTGATTTAATCCCACTGAGGTTCTTGTTCCATAGAGTAAGGTAAAGAATAGTTAAGATAGGATTAATTGTCATGTATAAACTACTTTAGAGAAAGTCACTTGTTATGCAGAACATTTCAGGCTGCCTAAAAGAAATTAACTTACAACTAATAACATTTAAATAATGATAGATTACCCGAAATGCCTAGGCATACCTAGGCCTACTAGTGGCCTTCTTTGTTATAAGTATTTCATTTTATAATGATTTTATATGTAAACCACACACTGTAATGTATACAGAGAAACATTTGAATTTGAACTATGGTTTGCAATCTTTGACATGTTAATTTTTAATTTTACTCATGTATAGGTACACAAATTTAGTTAGGATAAGCCAAGAAGGTCACAGTGACTTTGTTTCCATTGGGGTCCTTGACAATACAAAGTAACATTTTGAGTTACGATTAATGACTCGTGTAAATTGTTATAACATTTGTAGTGGTGAACACTGAAATATTTTTTGTATATAACACGTGTAGAAACAGTGGTGATAGAACTGTAGTATGAATGTTAATATGGTTCGGATCACCAGGGTTGCCACAGGTACACACGAGTATAATTATGATACATTGTGTAAATTACGTAAGATAACCCAGAAATTCATCAAAGTGACTACCATTGGGGCCGTAACATAATTAGCTAAAAATGTTTTAAGGCAAATTTATGAGGAACTTTTAACTATATTTCTGAAGCAGATGGCTTAAGGGAAACATATACAAATAACCCGCACATAGAAAAGAGGAGCTGACGACGACGTTTCGGTCCGACTTGGACCATTTATAAAGTCACACTAACGAAAAGGAGAGAAGGAGGGGTAAATATAGGCAGGAGGTGATAGTAGTAGTACTACTATTACCTCCTGCCTATATATACCCTCTCCTTTTCGTAAGTGTGACTTTATAAATGGTCCAAGTTGGACCGAAACGTCGTCGTCAGCTCCTCTTTTCTATGTCCGGGTTATTTGTGTATCGTTCCAGTCACGGTATTGTGCCTTTTTTTGTTATTTTAGGGAAACATTTTGCATCTTCTGGAAGGGAGTTCTAAATTTCAGGGCCATTTATTTGCACCGAGTTCCTATATAGGTTGAGTCGATCACGTGGTATATCTGAGATACTTATTTTACTATTATGTCTATGTGTTATGTTACAGCTCTTTAGGAATAGTCGAAGCGCTGGGTTGTAGTTCGTTCAGTGTCCTGTATATAAGATAAGATTTCGTTCGGATTTTTAACCCCGGAGGGTTAGCCACCCAGGATAACCCAAGAAAGTCAGTGCGTCATCGAGGACTGTCTAACTTATTTCCATTGGGGTCCTCAATCTTGTCCCCCAGGATGCGACCCACACCAGTCGACTAACACCCAGGTACCTATTTGCTGCTAGGTGAACAGGACAACAGGTGTAAGGAAACGTGTCGAAATGTTTCCACCCGCCGGGAATCGAACCCGGGCCCTCCGTGTGTGAAGCGGGAGCTTCAGCCACCAGGCCACAGAAATGGAGTTGTGCTGTGTAAGCTAAATGAGGCTTTTGGATAGTGTGTGTGTTTGTCTTCAACCTGATTGGGTGATTATTCTGACAGTTGATTTATATTGAGTAACAATTGGTTATAGTTTATTTGCCTTAGAAGATCACTAAGCACAAATCCCACCACAGAGGTAAGGATAGATAGAGAGTAGGACAGAGTGAGTAATGTCGTTTGTGGTACAGAGTAGCGTATTTTTTATAGAAAGTCCAAAGTTTTGTTAATTTTCATAGATACGTCTTGGATATGAGTGTTGAATGTCATGTTGCAGTCAAGGTGCATCCATAAGATTTTTTTCTTGTCATGTCTTTCTATGAGTGAATTATTTATTTTTATGTTGATATTGGCAATTTTAAATTTATTCCCGAATTTCCTGTAGAAAGTCATGTCAATATTGAAAGTTTGTTGTTTACCATCCAGGTAGAAGTGGGTGAGGAATTGGGTTCCACAGGGCCTGGTACTTGGTATAGTACTGTTTCTTGTATTGAGGAATTTTCTTCATCCCCGGGGGGCGTCGTCCCCCTCTCAGGAGGAGGCGACCCCAAGAGGGAGCTAAGACCCCTCACGCCTACTCTCCAGTGTGGAAAACTAAAGAGAGGGGTCTTAGCTTCCTCGACTGATCGCTGCCCCCTGAGGGGGAGGGCACTACGCCCCCCGGGGGGTTGGAGAATATTTGTCCTTGTTTGGAGACACTGAGAAGTTAATGCGAAGAATTCAAAAGGATGAGGATCAGATAGGACTACAAAGGGATCTGGACAGGCTGCAAGCCTGATCGAACAACTGGCTCCTGGACTTTAACCCCACCAAGTACAGTCATGAAGATTGGAGAATGTCGAAGATGATCGCAGACAGAATACAGTCTAGGAGGCTAAAGGCTGCGACTTCACTCAAGGAAAAAAAATGTTAGATTGTCATACCGAGCATATCTGAGGCGCTTATCATTTAAATAACTGCTACAACATATGGGCGCCTGGCATACCTAAGAACAGCGTTTCGATACGTGAGTAAAGAATCATTCAGGATACTGTACACCAGTAGCGTGCAGAGATGGGGGGAAGGGGCG